TCTATTCTCCAGCGACGTGACGCTTCTCTCTGGTATACTAGCAAAAGCAAAGATCTTTGTCGCATCCGCGACTTTTTGTGTGAGAAAAGCGGTCTCAGGTGCCGTCGAGAGACAGAAAGTGTGAGAGAGAGAGAGAAAGAGAAATGTGGAAGAGCGCTTACTGCGTGTGCAGATTTCTCGCATCGTGTGGATGGATCTGGAGAGCATCCTGTCCCTCCGAATCTCTTCTGTGAAACGATGAAGCGGGAGCGAAACTTTTGATCTCATATTCCGGCCGAACACGTCCAGTGGCCCCTCCGTGCCTGCCGATGAGATTTTGGACCCCTCCCCTTTCTCTCTTCCGCCGCCAGCCCAACGGTCAGCGCGATTCCAAACGAGATTGGAAATGAGAGCGCTATGCGGAAAGGGAATTTTCGCGGAGAGACATTTTTACTTTATTCCATTCGGTCCTTCTCTCCCTCCCCACCTTTCACATCGCCATTCTGGCCCTCCCAGTCGGCAGGCAGCATCTCCGGAATGTTTTTAAATCCAACATTTAAAATAGCTCGTGTTTCTTTCTAGCTATAAATGGATTTTGATAAAACGTTCGTGACATTTCGGACGCGGCGACTGGTGAGGATGGCTAATGGAATACCGAGGATTGGTTGGTTGGTTTTGCCCTTTGGGAGAGTTTTTTCTTACTCTCCATCATCTTGTCCCTGGGCCGCCAAATCTAAACAAAGTCTAAACCTTCGACATTAGGACCCGAAAAACTCTGTACTACAAAACTCGTACGTATGTTTTGATTCGAAAGAAGGAAGCCGAAATTTTTGTAGGCCGGTTATTGAGACATTCTTTGCTGACTGAACAGACAGATAACAAAATTTAAAGTTTAAATTTTGTTAAAATGCTTCTGAGGTTTTTAGATGAATTTGGTCTGAGATAGTTAAACCATATGAAGAAACAATATTGATATAGGAAGCCTACCATAAATTATGGCTTGCAAAGTAACATTAAATTCAGATTTGCGTAAATGCAAAATTGTTTTGTCTTTAATATCCGTTGGCAAACTTCTTTGTAGTCTTTGTTAAGTCCATTAGCCAGCAAATCGTGTCTCATTTTTATTTCGTTCTTTGTCATCAAGTAGAATATTGGAACAAAATTTGAGAATTTTGAAAACAGAATAAATGAACGAACAGAAAACGTTATGTTTCTGTTAAATCAAAGTTAAAGTGTGACTTTTCCGGAAACTTAGTGTTCCATGACTTCGCCAATAATTACTTAGGTTAGGTTCCATAAGATGGCTTTATCATGTGCAAAAGTTATACAAGTGTTTTTGAGATATGAATATTATTTCAAGTGTTCTATAAGGATATTGTGTTTGAGAAAACATGATTTAGTACCCTGTAAAGTTAACTGCAAAATTTCATTTCTTTAGGAGTATCAAAAAGTTGTTTTGGGCATACTTTTCCTTTTAAAAGAATAACCGTATAAAAAAGGCAGAATTATCTTTAGTTTATAGTCTAATTATATGCTATGTAATAAACGTATAAAGAAAATTATAGTTTTGCGGGTCTTTGAAATAAAATGCTGTGACCACAGTATGACAAAATAATAGATCTCCCAAAACATTATTTTGTGGTTAACATTTTTTGCTTCTTAATCCTCGGTATTTTAAATAACCAGCGATATTAATTCGATTCCATACCCTGACAGTGTTACGATATCAGAATCGAGACTTAGTGCAAATTTAGAAATGGAAGTGTATTTTTATTATTACTGTTTAAGCTATTTTATGGGATATTCGTTATAGGCGAGAATAGTGTAAGAGATTGAATAAAAGTGCAAACTGACAGTTGAAAATGTCGTTGGTAACTGCTACCGATGGACAATTTGGGATCATTTTCATGACTTCTGAATCATCCAAGGCGTTAAATCGTTCGCTCTTTTAGACTTTAATATCATAAAACTTTGGTATCAAATAATACGCATTATTCACTGTTAATTTTTTTACGTACCAGTACTGTAAGCCAATTACCCCTTTGATATATAACGTACTATTTAACTTTCCGTTTCTTGTTCCATGCTTGTACGAAGTTACACGCCATATCCATAAATTGAGAATATCGCATATATTATCTCTCTTAAAAGGAAAGTTAAACTACTCTACGATCATTGTTTCGGTATCTTACAAACTGCGAAAAAAAAAATCTGAAAGCTTTCAGATTTTACATTGCGTCCAAAGGGGCGTTTTTTTAACATTGTGGCGTTTTACAATTATTTAACGCCAAAGGGGCGTTATACCTTTGTTTATTAAATATCATGTTCTTCGCGCTTAAACCATAAAATTCAATTCAACAGCAATATCGCAAAATAATTTCAAAATGAAAATATGTTTAGAATTTCCGATACACAGTCTCGTGCGCTGGAGATAAAAATGTTTTTTGTTTTTCGTACAGTGTTGCCATGGCTCGCTTTGAAATCGTTGAGTTTAATTCAGAAGTCAAACAACAAAAATCAGCGTTATATTTACAAAATTTTCACAGGACTAGTTTCGAGGGTTTTACCGAACCGCCATCCTCAGATGCAAAACCGCAAATGAACAAGATAGGAAATAATGTTTAGATAAGATAAGGAAGCCTAACTAAGATAGCAAGTGCCCATCTGTTGGTGAAACCAGAACTAAAACATAATTTCTCTTTAAAGGCCGAAGGCAAATTTGGATTGGAATTAGGATCGTTAACTAGAACAGAAAGATTTTTATGAATGTGAAACGCCTCTAGAAAATCCAGTTCTCCAATGGAAGATGTTTTTTGAATAATTTTGGCAGCAGAAGAATTGAAATTGTGGTTTTCGGACTAACAATGTTGAGCAACTGAAGACTTATGTGTTTCCTTTTGTCTAACATATGCCTCATGTTCCTTGACGCGAAATTTTAAGGCTCTCTTAGTTTGGCCAATGTAAATTAAACCACACTGGCAAGAAATCCTATAAATACCCCAGGAATTCATATCCGGAATGGGGTCCTTGAGTATGGAACTCGGAATTTTATTGATAGGAGAAAACACCCGAAAGTTAAATTTCTGCAAAATATGTGCAACTTTATAGCTAATTGGATGGAAAGAAGGGAATGACAACAGAATTTTTATAATCCTTAAAACAAGAGTGTGCCTTTTAGTGTGTTGAGATGAGAATTTTTTAACTGCTTGATTATAATGTTGGGTGAAAAGCCCCTGTCAATAGCTATGCTTTTAAATAATTTAGTTCTTCATTAAGGCTAGTTTGGAGGAGCAAACTTGAAGAGCACGGAAACATAGGAAGAAAATGAAGCAACTTTTTGTTTAGTCGGATGACATGATTTACATTTGTTGTTTGACTTCTGAATTAGTATTTATTCGGCGTGTTATTGTGTCTTAATCGTTGAGTTTGTTAATAAAAAATTCGTTATAGTTTTACAAAATATGAAATTTATAATAAAATAAATTTTAAATTACAAATTATTGCTTCCAGATGCCCATATGCGGTGGAAGATTACGTTATTCAAAACTAGATGGCTCTAGGTGCCGTTGTTTTATCACAATGCGAGAAACATACATACATTTATGCAGACTCTTCATTATTTAATTTCTTTAAATATAACACAGAGCGATAACATTTGGTGGCAACAATTTGAAAAGGAAAAGCTATTCATAGTGAATCGACGCAAAATGCCAAAACGGAATTATAGTCCTTCTGGACAAATATCCCCTTTGGGATTAATATATATATATATATATATGTATGTATGTATATATATATATATATATATATCTATATATATATGTATCTATCTATATATATCTCTAATATATATTATAATATCTATGTCTCCTGTTTCAACTTACTTTTGTCTAAATAAGAACAGAAGACGCACTTTGTTCTTACAACTAAGTTAGCCACTTGTAATAAGATAATTTAAATACGGTAAGTCAAATGTAAAATTTAAATTCAGATAACGTCGTAGCCGAAGGCCACACAGTCAATTTAACGCGAAGTTGGCTGAAAACTTAACCGGCGTAGAATTCAACGACTGAATGGAATAATTCCCTTAAATAGGAATCGGGCTTGAGGCGGTTAATTTTGAAGGAATGGTGTGGTAATTTCGCGGTATGAAAAATTTTAAGTCCAAATTTGCACGAATATTATCCATAGCAAAATTATACAACACTTTTTTTAATCTAAAACCAGAAATATGTAAATATTTATCTCTTGCCAATATTTATGAAGGGGAAATTCCATAACTTTCCGTATCTCGTTCGCTCTTAATCTCAAGAGCTGGATTTTGCCATTGCATTGACAGATATTTGGCAGTATGAAAACTCATCAAAATTTGGGAATCTTGGTCCCAGTCGATTTTTAGGCTGCATTGAGAGAATTTTAGCAATACGAAAGCTCGTCGTATTGTTTGGCTCTAGTGTAGAATTGGGTGCCCCTTCGATTAGCGACAATTTTTTTTTTTTTTTTTAATTTTGCCGAATTTGAAACCTCATTTCAGGTTACCATGACAGTTTAAACTTTGTATTAGCTTTCTATTGTTTTTTTTTTTTTTTTTTTTTTAAATGAAAATAGATTGATGTGTGCATGGACAAATTTAAGGCAGTGTGCAATGCCTAGTTTGGGCAATTCTGGGATTTTTTTTAAGTGTAAACAGATTGATGTGTATATGGACACAGAGCAATTTTTTGACTTCATATTTTGGTTTTGAGTAGCGGCCATCTTGAAATTGTGTCTTCTTGGCGCCGATTTTGGCGTCAAAAATGAATCGCCAAAAACCAAGAGGCACCCAGCTGTAAACTTTTACCTTGAAATCAGTTCATACACTTTTTAATTCGAAGCTGTTAAACTGTGAATTTTTGTGGAAAACTAAAATGCAACTTTACAGTTTTTACCCGAATTTATAGCGATACAAAATATTGGCAAATTTATATCAATGTAAACAAGTTTGTGCTCTAATTTATAACGCCGTTATAAAATCGACAGTTTGATTTAAAGCTTTATGTTTTGTTTTGCAGATTCCGGGATGAATGGCGATTTCTCGAATGACACCCAAGACAGCTCTACTAGTCATGACACGACGGACCTCAGACCCGACGAAGACAGCGTCGATTCAGAGAAAGCTCTCAATCTCGTAAGTACCTTTACATTTATTTTGTGTCCCTTAACTACAGTTTACACTGCATTCCATGATATGTATTTGTCAATGATGGAGGTATATTGACTTCTGATGTATACTCTTCTGATTTTGAATCTACTCATATCAGGTTCACGAATTAACCATGGTTAAGAAAAAACAGCGCCTTTCGTAACCAAGGTCATAATATGACTTTTGTTCAGTTCTGTCTCAGTTTTGGAGCAATTTCAGAGGATGGATCCAAAGGCCTTCGACTTGTGTCCTCATGCCACAAAAATACTATACTTTAATAAACATCACGGTCATCTCCTGGCTTATCTGCTGAGTTTATCAGTATAGATGCTTTCAAGAAACGAGAAAAGATGTCTTTTCACCGTTTACATCAATACAGAATCATTTTCTCAGCTATTAGGTGGCATCTGACACAATGAATATCTACAATGTTCTAAGGTTCCTGGACAAGCATGAGGCGAACAAGGCATCTGACAAGTTGAAATGGCCTCAAATTGCCTACGAAAACTTATAAAGCTATTAAAAAAAGAATTATGATTGTAACTTCGAAACATACCAAAAAGGTTTATTTTTAGAACATATTTAAAGCAGTAAGATTTTGTCAGCACTATTTATGGTAATTTAAAAGCATTCTTTTCCTGTTACTTCTTCCTTTCCACATGTGGTAATGGCTGCCTATTTGATTTTCATGAGTCATTCTTTTTGTACCCATCTTGTGGCTCAGGATGGCGTCTCTCAGTTCACCATTTGACACAACCATAATAAGCAGGAATATCACTTAAATATAAATTAATTGATTTATTTTATTACTTTACTTCAATCAGATTTCTTTAACACATAATTTTCATCGTATGATTTCCTTTAATTCTTACAAAGAATTAATTTAGAAGTTAAGCAGCAAAAATCAGCGTTATATTTTCAAATTTTCACAGGACTAGTTTCGATGGTTTTACCGAACCATCAACCTCAGCTGCCAAAGCGCAAATGAAAGAGATAAGATATAGTGATTAGATAAGATAAAAATGGTTGGACAGGAGTTAAACTACTGGCGCCATCTGGTGATGAAATAAGATCTAAAACATAATTTCCTTAAAGGCTGAAAGCAAAGATGAATTGGAATTAGGGTCGTTAACTAGAACAGAAAGGTGTGGTTTTTTTTTTTTTTTTTTTTTTTAATGTGAAATGATTCTAGAAAATCTAATTCACCAATGGAAGATGTTTTTTGAATCATTTTGGCTGCAGAAAGATTGAAAGTGTGATTTTCGGACCAACAATGCTGGGCAACAGAAGACTTCTCTCCGCTCTATCTGATGTTGCAAAGTGTAAATTCTGAGAGTTTTAGCTTCATTAAACGAAGATATGCGCGAAAAATCGTTTCGACATACAATTTAAAAAACTCGCATCAAATTTGAAAAAAGAAATCAAACTTTTTTTGCATGTTATATTGTTATGGAAAAATATGGTGTCAATAAATTTCAGTTCGTTAGCTTATCAGAAAGAATTTTAAAAAAAGGATACCAAACTTTGACTATAGCCACAAATGGCATGAATGAGCTTTTTAAAAGCTTATAAAAATGAAGTATTCTGTATTATAAGTCTTCCTCCATTTTTGTTTTAAATTTTTGGTTTGCTCCGTTTTTCATTGAATATGGAATAAATATAATTTTAGTTTTTGTTTCGTTGTACTCATATTTAGTTTCTGTCTGAACTATGCAGTTAGTTTCATTTTACGGTTAGTCCAGGATTAGTTACAATTGTAGCTTAAAGAAATTGAATGGATTAAACGAATCTACATCTTAATTTCATTTTCTGTTAAGACTGGAGTGCAAAGAGATATCTTCTCCTTTTGTAAGTTATTCTAATATTTATAACAATTGTTTAGCATTAAAGAAATTTAAAAAAAAAAAAGGTTTAAAGTTTTGAATTTTTTGTCGTGGAAGAATTGAGTAAACTATACGGGCTGAAATGACTGGTGTTAAGTTACAGAAGAAGTCGCTGATATTCGATTGTAACTAAATAAAGGCTTGCAATCAAAGACGACTTAATCCACACGCGGTCGAGTGAATATGAACACTAGTATTTCGATTCAGGCTCAAATCCCGGGTAATGGGCAACTACCTGAGTGCTTTCCTGTTTATTTTTTCCTGGGTGAGGCTAGCATGTGCCATTTCCTTTCGAAAGACCTTCAGTTCCCTCATTCATTAACCATTTTATTTACAGCTGAAGAACGAAAATATTATTGATAAATGTGGGATTTTAGCATTAGAGATGAATTTATCAGTAGAGCTTGAAAGAAACTAAAAGGGAAAATTAATAAACCAGATATTTAATAATCTGTATGAGTGATCTCATCTTTAGTGGAAATTTCTAAAACATGAATATTATTTTAAAAATTCCGTATAAACTAAAGGTTTGGGAACGCTGTGGTAATGAAATAGAAAGTGAAAAAAAAAAATATTAAAAATCTGATTGTGAGTGGTTTTGGTCCAAATGTCCAATAAAAAACACATTTTTGAGTAATAAGGGAGTCAGTTTTGAGTGAAACTGAGATATTTATTTTCAATCTGTTATGTGTGTATTGAAGGGCAAAATATCAAAATTTTAGATCTCTCAACTTGAATAAAATTTGCAAACCCGATGTGTAACAACATGTCTAAAACACTGAATTATTTCTTCATATATTTTAGGGTACGTTTGGTGAACCGTATTTCAAATAAAGGAAGGTCCTAAAGCCTGGACCTAGTCTGAAAAAGGCATTCATCTGCTGCGCTTCCCCCCCTCCCCCACTTTATTTAAAGTGGACGGGGGAAAATTTACGTACCAAAGAAGCTTTCCGTCTTGATTCCCTGTTTCCCAAAAATAGATCTGGTGGTCAGTCGGGGGGAAAATGCCTTAGGGGCCATTTTTACTACCCGGAGGCCGCATCACGTGATTCGCATCCTCCAATGAGGGAGAGGGGATTTAGAGGGCATCGGATGACTAACGTCACCCTGGCGATTTGCATCCGAGGCGCAACGTATGCAGAATGACCGCTCGTTTGATAAGAGGGTTGCCTTTTTTGGCCCCTTATCGTACTCTTCTTTTTTTTTTTTTTTTTTCTTTGTCTGTATGTGTGCGGGGGAGGGGTCTGTGGGATGAATTTTAGAATGTACAACTGAAGTATGTCATTTGTATTTTAAAAATTAAGTCCATTTGTTATTTACTGTTACTTTTGAATCAGTCTGTATATACAATCACCATAGGCTTTAATAAAGGGAACCATTAAAAAGTAAAAAAAGAAAGGAAAACATCCATTCATTTCTAAAGAGATTTTTAAAAAATGTTCTTAAAGAGCTGCATTAGAATATGAAATAGCAGATGATTAGTTTCGCATTGTCTTAGTTCTTCTATCTTAGTAGCTACAGCTATTTCAGGCGGGCATGTCTGTATATTTTTTTTAAAAAAATTTATATTAAAAATATATGTCTGTATATATTAAAAAATTTTTTTTGTAACCAAAAATACACAATAAGCACAACTCTGTCGAGGCCGAATTTCTCAAAATAGCTGGACACAACCGTTTTTTAACCAACGATCGCTTTTTCCAGCGCTGATTTCTGTGAATTTGCATACATGCTTTTATTTCTGGCGCACGCATCGGATTCCAGGATGTCGACATACTAAACATTTATGACGATTCAAACAACGTACCGCGCAAATATGTTTCTACATCGTAGTATAACTGCATTTCCACTATGCGTAGCTGTATTTTAGCACCACACGTCTCTCTTTCCGCATCGCACAAGCTGTTAGAAAAGTTTAAAAGAACACTACAGCTGACATCTTGAGATTCAGAGACTGAGTTTAGCTATTTCAGCGGTCCATTGGAAATGAATGTCAACCATTAAAACCTTTTTCGCGCTGAAATATTTTCGTATTTATTAAGGAAAGTTTGCATGAGAAAAAAATTATGTATAGCTTTCAAATTTCTCAAGTTGCTAAACGAAGTTTTTTTATTTAAGACTAGTAGCTTTTAACGGGCTGGCTGCATGGGCGTTTTCGTGGTTTTCCCCATGTGTAACGTGTATACGAGCCAGTTTCCCTTAGAAAGTCCTCCACGAAAGGCATCCCTCCCTTTAGGCAGATAGCCCTCGTGTGCTTTGCCATAATTAAATACACCACCACCCCGTACTAGCAGCTTCGCTGCCAGCCTTCGTCGGCTTTTAAATGTACCGGAAAAATGGCTGAAGGGAACACCAAACGTTAAATTTAAAAACTGCTTAGAATTTTACTCTGCAGAACAACTTAATAAAAAAATTATTACGTATAACAAAATTACAATGAAATAAGCAATATCCTTTAATACAAATATTAATTATCCTAATAAATAAGTTAACCAACTTCCCTCTTTGCAAAATCTTAAGAACTGAAATGGTATAAAGGAGGTTAAGTAATTTGTTTCCTAAAAAAATCACTCAAAACTTAAAACTAAAAACAGTATCTTAAAAACAGTGAAATGAGCAATAAATAACATAAAAGAATACAAAAAACAAAAAATTCTGAAAAGCAAAGTATAATTAATGATATTTTATCTTATATTTTCAAGAGAAAAAAATTATAATGAAATAAGCTATATCTCTTAATACAAATATTAATTATCCCAATAAAAAATTAACCAACTCTTCGTTGAAGAACAAAAATCATGCAAAACTTTTCAATATCTTACAAACAGTGAAATAAGGAAAAAATAACACGAAAGAAACTAAAAAAACATAAAATTCCGTGCAGAATTTTACTCTGCAGAACAACTTTATCAAAAAACAATCAAGAAAAATGTATTATATATATATATATATGACAATGAAATATGCCAATCTCTTACAAACAGTGACATAAGAAATACGATGAAAAATTGTTGCCAAACCCATATTTCTAAAAGAATGAAACTATTCAAAATGATGCGATTTCATCAAAAATCTATCAACAACAATAAGACGGGAAAATTG